GTTCATGAAGAAGTTGCTCACGTCTATGTCCAAGAGACTTTTGCCTATGTTTTTTTCCAAGAGTTTTATGGTTTCATGACTTACATTCAGGTCTTTGATCCATTTCAAATTTACTTTTGTGTATGGGGTTAGACAGTGATCCAGTTTCATTCTCTTACATGTAGCTGTCCAGTTTTGTCAACACCAGCTGTTGAAGAGGCTGACATTCCCCTATTGTATGTCCATGGCTCCTTTATTGTATATTAATTGACCATAAATGTTTGGGTTAATGTCTGGAGTCTCTATTCTGTTCCACTGGTCTGTGGGTCTGTTTTTGTGCCAGTACCAAATTGTCTTGATTACTGTGGCTTTGTCGTAGAGCTTGAAGTTGGGAAGCGAGATCCCCCCTACTTTATTCTTCCTTCTCAGAATTGCTTTGGCTATTTGGGGTCTTTTGTGGTTCCATATGAATTTTAAAACTATTTGTTCCAGTTCGTTGTAGAATACTGTTGGTATTTTGATGGGATTGCACTGAATCTGTAACTGCTTTAGGCAGGATGGCCATTTTGACAATATTAATTCTTCCTAGCCAAGAGCCTGGGATGAGTTTCCATTTATTAGTGTCCTCTTTAATTTCTCTTAAGAGTGTCTTGTAGTTTTTCAGGGTATAGGTCTTTCACTTCCTTGGTTAGGTTATTCCTAGGTGGTGTGATTCCTTTTTGAAGGAAAAAAGTACTACTCCAAAATGTTAACTGTGGACTGTGGTTCTCTCTGGGGAAGGATTGATGGCTACTTCTGTATATATGTATCTTTATTATCGTACAATATTTATATTGTTTATAAATTTTTATATTTATACATACTTTATATATATTAATAAAATACGTTACTTATGTATATTTTCTAAATGTCCTACAATGACCATGTATCAATTTTATGGAAAGAAAACAAATTATAAAATAAAAAAGGAGCCATTGTATTAGATAGCATATAGTGCTATTTTGTCCTTGCATCGTGATAAATTTTGATTTTTGACTAGGCCCCGTGCGGCTTTCTTTATAAGCAGGGTCCTTGTCTTTTTTTGCTTATAGTGTTATATGCGGTTAGGTACTTAATTCATTCTCTTCAATAATGTCATTTAAACATTATATTCTGTTTTTTATAGGCATTAAAATATATAGGGAACAAAGTGAGGAGGCAAAGGATGTGGGGAGGTGGACCGAAGAAAACCAAAGTAGAAGAAGCAAGAGAGCTACTGGCCTCCACCATTCTGACCCACGTGCCAGTGAGTGATGCCTGTACAGCTGTGAATAATGGTCATTGTGGGGGGCGTTTGTTAAAGAATTTTAAGTTCAAGTTTGCATTATTTAAAGTCTAGTTCCTTGGCTACATCTAGGGTACAGTAAAGGGCCTTCGGAAAGAGCAAGTGCTTTAGCAGAGCTACAGACTGAATTATGTCCCCATAAAATTTACACATTGAAGCCCTTACCCCTAGCATGACTGTATTTGGAGCTAGGGCCTAGATGGAGGTAAATAAGATAAAGTGTGGTCGTAAGTGTGGGGTCCTGACTCTGCAGGAATAGAGTCATTATAGGAAGTGCCCATACCACCCTCCCTCCCCCCACCATCCCCTGTCCCTGGCGTGTGGGGACACAGAAGGCAGTCGTCTGCAAGCCTGGAGGAGGCCTCACTGGGAATCCGACTGGCTGGCATCTTGACCTTGGACTTGCAGACTCCAGAGAAAAATAAAATCTAGTTCCTTAAGAGAGAATCCTAAAGCGTGCTGGACTGCCCCCCTGGAAATAGTCTTCTGTTATCAGTAGTTTATACTTTTGCTCAGACAGTGTTAGCTGTATTGTCTTGTTATCTTCATGTTTATGCTTTCATGGTTCTTCTTTCAATCTAAAATTATAATTTTTCTATATTCATACATATATTAGTGCTGCTACTAGAGTTCATGGTTTTGAAGGACAGAGTGGTGTCTTTGTTGTTTTTAAGTAAAACAGTGCCTTGCCCATAGAGATGCTGTTTTTAATTATAAAATATGTACCATAAAATTTACCATTTTTAAGTGAACAGTTCACTGGCATTGTGTACATCCCCAGTGTTGTGGTACCATCACTACTACAGATACTTGTAAAATATTGAATCGGTTCCTCTTCTGGACCTTGAATTTTAGAGTTAACGTTCTTCAACCCTCTTTACTTACAGTGAAGATGCTCAGGACCAGACAAACTTGATGACTTGCCTTGTCATCCAAATGGTTAGTGGTCAGAGAGGGAGCTAGAACCCATCTTCTGAGCCTTGTGCTAGTGCTTAATATTTATTTTTTAACTAATTTATCATTAAACAGATGTTGGCCATGTTGGCATGTTGAGTATGGGCAAGAGTCATCCTTTCTTCCCTATTTAATATAATGCCACTCTTTCTAAGTTACGGAGTTATTTGTTAGTTAAACTCTTGTTAACCACATAGTCTGGTTTATAAAGAGTTACCATGTGTATTGTTCATAGGTGATCTGATGGAGGGGTTGCAAACTCTACTTTCAGGGAGCTAACTGTAAAATAATGGAAAGTCAAGGGATCTACATGGGTGCAGAGTGACCACCTAAATGCATTCAGATTGGGTTTTCTTATTTTAAAAACACCTTGGGGACCAACTAATACAGATCTCTCATTCTGCCCTTTGGCTGCTATTAGTGTGTCTTTGATCTAACTCAAAGAAGTAGAAAACTGTTTTTATTAAATCTGTGTCTGAACAGAATTTTAAACTCCTTTGGATGATTGGAAAGACAGTTTAAAACTCAAAATAGCAGCAATGAGTATCTCTGGCTCTCCAGGTATCCTCTCTCTGCCCCCAGAGTATCTTGGGCTTCTCCCATGGAGCCCCGGTCTCAGAAAGGAAGTGGAAACTGCCAGTTCACAGGCCGACCCTAAGGGGTGGTGGTCCACCTCTTGATGAAGGAGTGGCATGAAATGCATAGGGAGGGAAGGAGTTGCTAGTGATCATCTTTGAAGAAAATCTACCACAGGTACTGACTCAAACATGAAAGTCATCATCTCAGTTTTCAGGAAGTTTATAGACTTGTTGAATCTCTTTGAATAGGAAGAATAATAACAGTTCATTATTTTCTCATTTGAATATTATAATATCAGTTCTTTCCTTGAAGCATCCTAAATTTTAATGTGCATTGTCTCAAAACTTCCTTTAATTCCTGAATTATAGGTTAAAGAATTCAATTTCCGAGCCAAATGTATATATACTGCGGTGATGGTGCGAAGAGTAATTCTGGCCCAAGGAGATAATAAAGTTGACGACAGAGACTACTATGGGAACAAGCGATTGGAGTTGGCAGGACAGGTGATTTAATTTTTTTTGTCAGCAGGTCTGAGCTTCAGAAGTGGGCTTCAAGATTTTTTAAAGTATGAACTTTACTTGGAATCCTGATATTAAAACAGATAAAAGTCAAGTCTCTCTGGTTGAGGTGGGTTGTAAGGGCTTGTTTCTCTGCCTACTGGCCCTTCTCTTGAAACTTCTCTCTTGAAAATTAAGTTTAGGCTCTTTAGCAGGGCTTGTGGGGCCTTGATTATCTTGTCCTTGCCCACCTTCCCATCCTCTTCTCATGCCAAGGTGAGCCACTTATATTTTTCCCAAACATACCGTGATGCTCTTTCATCCTTCCATGCCTTTAGTCATGCCTTCTGCCCTAGCTGCCTTCCCACTGGGGAGGAGCTCCCGCCTATTCATCATTCTTTGAGTCACCCTCTCCGAAACTGTCTGTGAGCCCCAGAAGTTAGTTGTTCTGTATTCACTTTGCTCAGGTCTTTATTTGCATGCTGAATTGGTATATAATTCTTTACCTGTGTGCTTCTTTCTCTATAAAGTATAAGCTCACTGAGGGCAGGGACCATTTATATGCATCTCTGTACCCTCATATAAAGGGCAAGGGACCAGAGATACAAGGGTGACAATAGTTGATGAATTCCTGTTCCCTGGAGTGTGCGTTTTGGTAGGGAGACAGTGAACAAGTAAACAGTGAAGTAGTGTAATGCTATGAGCTGGTCATATTAAAGAAAACTAGAAATAGGCTAATGTTAGTGACTTGGCCCAGTTGGTGGAGGGAAGGGGTGTTACTTAGCATGGTCAGGAAAGACCTCTGAAAAGCAATATATTTTAAGCTGAGCCCTCAGACATTTCAGCTGAGACTTGAATGAGGAGAAGCCAGTGTCACACAACCTTGGGCACTACATTTCCAGCAGGAGCCCCGAGCAAGTGCACACATGTGCAGGCCATTCCAGAGCTCGAGAAACTAGAAGGGGATCAGTGGGGCTGGAGTGCTTGAGGTGTGGGAGTGTAGGCTGGGGAAGGGTGGGGTTTAATTTTACATGCAGTGGGAAACCACTGGAGAGTTTAATCAGGGAACCGACACTATCTGATTTTCACTTTAGGAAGATTTAATTTGGAGATGAACAGGCCAGGAATGGACTGGTAGCAGGCTGTGGTCAGCAGGCTGTGGCAGTATTCCTGATGACAGATGGTAGTGGCTGAAATGATGACAGCAGATAGCACCACAACTAAAATTTAACAACTAGGATTTAAAAATGAAAGCGGTTTTAGGTTTTGGGAAAAAGTGTCACTATAAAAAAGATCTGTTTGCTTAATGGCTGATGTTAGCAGGTGGATTTTGACCCTCTTCAGACTGACTGCTGTTCAGAGGATTTTGGGTATCCCCACCATCAGTCCCAGTTCTTAAAGTGTTTCAGTTAGAAAAAATAATGCTGTTAAATGACTCCATTAAAAAAAAAAATGTTGGCATTTAGAGGAATAGGGAATGGAGTCGAGAGGGGAGAGGAGAGGAGAAACTATCCTGTTGCTTAAAAAATTAGAATTAAAGAGTGTTCCCATGTGCAAGGAAACATCGCTTTATAAACATTGTAAAGACATAAAAGGTATTGTGTTGGCAAAAATGTGTAAAAACAATAGCTGCTAATTTCACAGCCCATGGGATGAGGGAGTATAAATGTGCTTCTGCTTTAGATAACAGAGCTCTATCCACTGGCCAAGCGGGTTCACAGAGCTTTCACTCAGTCCTTCTGCCACCAGAGGGCTGGCAGGCCAGCCGCCAGTAGAGGTGTTAGCAAAACCTACCGATTTCAGGCTTAATCTTTCACCTACCTTTTCTTTTTCGGTAATGTGTTCATTATTTGCTGAGCATTACTCTATTCTTTGTCTGCAAATTTTTTGTTTCTAATGCAGCTTGCTTTGTATGGGTGAGATATGGAACGGCACCAAAAATCCGGCACCCTGGAAAGCCAGGGATTTCCACCCTGTGACAAAAGAATGCCGCCTTGACTTCAGAGATTGCCTAATCCCAGCTGTTCTGATAATGTAATTAAGGCTGCCTAATGTCTTTAATTTTGCAACCAGTTTGTGTGAAAAGAAGAATTTGGCACTCTGAAGGCTTAAACACTAAATAGCAATCTCAAGACGCCTAATTAGAATTCTCTGACATTAAGCTAATTGGTGAAACTGTATTTCAGCAGCTTAACTTCTTTATTAATTTTTTTAGCATTTTCATTGAAAATCGATTGATGAGCTGTCAACATTTTTTCCTTAAATATAATTTTCTCTTTAGTGGTCCTGTCTTGAGCAGGCTGAAAGGCCTCATACTAGCAATGAAGAGTCTTGAATACTATCACCAGCATTCCATCCCTTTTAATCATTTTACTCTTGACCTAAATAATGTGGCTTATTGTGTGACTTGGTCTTGTAGTTTCTCACTGCTCTGTGAACTGGAGAACATTATTTCTCTTAAAACAAGAATGTAGGAGTGGGGAAATTTGTTAATGAGGCTGTAGTTCTGTTGAGTGTGCTCTTACTTTTTACTTGTTTAGTACCAGGGGCATTTCCTTGGTTTGAATCAGGGGCTGCAACAAATTCAGCTGGGATCCAAAAACACTTTGTCATAATTTGAGACACAAAAGTCTAAGTGTAAAAGGACTAATTAAAAGAGAGCTAGCTTTTGTGGTTGAGGTTAAGGGCATTTGCTTCTGTTCAGGATGCTTATTCAAGTTCCTTTTGCCAGTTTTCACAGGAAGTTGCTGGAATGGGCCTTTCCATCCCTCTCACCCTTCGGCACCTGCTTCCATTCCCATATTCTTTCTTTCCATGAGTGACACTGCTGGGTTTCTGAGTAGAAGAAAGGATTAAACTCTCAGAGGAGGAAGTTTTCTTTTTACAACACTTCTGACATGTATATTCAAGTCCAAGATCTGGCCTTCCTATCTGTGAAGTTGATTTTAATAGAAGAGAGGAAGGACATGTCTCATTTAGGGGTAAAAGCATAAAAATCACATTCTACTTAGGAAGTTATTTCCTCAGTAGTGGTTACAGAAGACTTGCTTTCTTTGAATATCTTCACAATTAGCCAAAAAGCAACCTGTGAGGTATAAACATTCAAAAATATAGTCAGTATACTACATAAGTCTTTAGCTTACAAGATTTTATAGAATTTCTCCTCTTTAAGTAAATAATCAGTGTATATATAATGTCCCCCCCTGCACCCCAGTATTAACATTCATGTTTTGTTATTTTACCTAGATTACAAATTAATCAAGTTTTCTCCTCTGAAGGACAAAAAATGCTTACTGAGGAAAAAAAAACTAATACAATTAATTTGCAGAGAAATTTAAGTATTTGTAATATCTGTTCTATTTCATTATTGTAGAAGTATGCCTGCTACTTACTTGTAGTAAGCCACCTATTTAGTTTTGCGAACTTTATATAAATGGTGTTCTGGTTACCTGTTCGTGCAGGGCATGCTATCCCAAAACTGCCTTCAAACAACACACCATTTCATTGTATCTTACAGCTTTGTGGGCCAGCAAGTCAGGCTGGACTTGGCTGTTTGATTCTTCTTTTCCACATGGTGTTAGTGGAGGTCAGTTGGTAGTATTCTGCTAGTGGGGAGAGGGCTGGAGGGCTGGCCTTGGCTAGGACCTGGGCTTCCCAGTTTTGTACATTAGCATGGCTCGGGACTCTGAATGAGTGTTCCCATGAACTAGATGGAACCCACATGGCCTTGATGACCTAGTTTTGAAAGTCACACCTTCATTTATTTCTACTCTGTTAGAAAAAGCAGTCACAACCTCCACCCAGATTTGGGGCATCTGGGGGCCACACTTTTCAGTGTGTAGTTAAGGGTCAGCCAGAGATTTGGGCAAAGTTTATAAACATAATTTGGGGGTTTTCTCTTCCTGTGATTTCTTCCTCACTCTCCAGCTGCTGTGGAAACTCAGATCTTTTTCCTCTGGTTTTTCAATCCGGTAAGACTGTGGTCTCTCTGGGTTTTACTTTGCTGTGTAGCTTGGACCCTTCTTAACAATGTGGCCTACCCGTAGTCAAAAAGCATTAAAACCAGGGAATGCACCCAGTGCCATTCACTTTTGTTAAGTGTTGAGTCCATCTGATAGGAGTTACTCCACCAATTCTGGAAATGGAACCATCATAGTCTGTTTTTATGACTTCTTACTTTGTTGATTTGGCTTCCATGGTTAGATTGTAACTCAAATCCACTACATAATGTAAGTAATTCTTAATTATTGACCACTATTCGTACCATTCCATTTACCTATGTATTTCTTCCTTACTCTGTTCCTCTTTCCCTCACTACCCTGAATTTTTGCAGTTATAATTTTAATTACATTATTTCAATTTAAAATTTAAAACATTTTAAAATGTTACAAGTTTTGCTTTATATATGTATAAAATACATTTTTGAGTTTTATAAAAGTAAACTCATACCGTATACATCTTTCTGTAGCTTTTTTTTCAGCATTGTTTTGAAGATTCAGCTATAGTATTGCAGTCACTAAGGCTCACTTTCATTTTTGGATTATATTCCATTGTATAAATATGATATGTAGAAGAAATATCACTTTATTCTACCAGTCAAGACCTTTGTATGATTTCCCTTCTTAAAAAAATATTAACATTCTTATTCATATTTTCTGGTGCCCATATGTAAGAGCTTCTATAAATAAGATTGCCTAGTCAAGTTAAATCTTATATTAAATACATATTAACTGGGGAATGTGAAACTAGTTTCCCAAGTATTTGTACATCGCACGGTGTTGGAGTTCCTGAAGATCTCCATCCTATGGCTTAGTATCAGACTTAAACATTTTTGTCTATCTGGTGGACATAAAGTGGCAGCTCCTTCTGGTATAATTTGCATTTCCTCATTACTAATGAAGTTGAGCCTCTTTTTCATGTATTTATTGACATTCCTGTTTTTTCTTCTTTAAAACACCTTTTGGGTTGTTTACATTTTCCTTATTGATTTCAAGATTTTTTGTGTA